AGAGATTTTCTGATAACATTAAGGAGGCTGCTCCTTGCCTTCTCCTCACCCCCAAAACCAAAAAACACTAGTCCAATGGTAGTGTCCCAGCCTGACACTGGAGAGCCTTCTCCCTGTGATTAACCACATGCCTGCCTTTCTGTCCTCTAGAAAATAGAATGTGATTTAAGTCTTGGATTGATGCCCTCCACCGGATTCTGCTGGACTGGGAGCAGAGGAAAGTGCGTGCCCTCAGCTGCTCACCACCATCGCACAGGTATCCCAATGGAGCAGTCTGTGTGAGCACTTCTTATCCGCTTCAGGCAAAATCATCCCGGTTAGCTCAAAGAATTTAAACTGTTTGTCTAAGGTAACCTGGCCATGTCTTTTGCCTGAAGCAAAGAAAGGAGCACTTACACAGACCATGCCTGGCCGAGCCGTACGTGCAGTAATCTGTCCTCCTGGCATAGCCAGAGTCAGGCGCTGTCTGTGGCTGCGTAGATTGTCTGTGCAGAGTGGCAGCAGACCCTGGTATAGCTAGCGTGATTTAATTAATTTGAGACACGAAGGGTCTGCTGCCAGTGTAGCTGAAACTCTCTGTTCCCAAGGAGGATAGGCCATACTGGCATAAATGCTTTTTCTGATACTATTGTTATCAACATTATTTTCATTTTTTTAATCAAGGAAAACTTCCAGCAGACCAAACCTGAGTTTCTGCCATGTGTCTTCAAAAATATTTTAAGAATACTTGTAGGTGCAGCATTTTGGAAAGTTCCTTAAATTTAAGGGAAAGTACATTTTAACTGTACTATTAGTATTATGTTAGCCAGCAGTCCTGGACTCAAACTAGTGATGGCAACAGCAAAATTGCCGTCTACAATCAGGAGGAGGATGTTATTACCCTTGGGGTTCTAGTGATCCTTCTTTTGCCTCCCTTCCTCTCCTCCTGAGCAAGTAGGAACTCCCTGCATTCCTCACCACCTTCCTTGTGCCTCCCCCCAGGCCAAGTCTGTTTGTCATTCCAGGTTGTAAGTCCCCCAGAGCACAGATCCCCTCAGAAGTTGCTAGTACGGAGCCTGTCAGCGGACAAATTCAGGTAAAACTATACTATAACAGAAAAGACATGGAAGCACTAATCATTGCACTGGCATTTCATCCTGATGTTGCAACTTCACCTCACGTCCTTCTGCAACAAAGAACAAGTAGGTTGAGGAATACTGGCCATCATTTCTCACCTGTTTTCTCATCTAAAGGGCTTTGCTCTGTGGTTCTCTCTCTTTTTACATACCCTCATCTGTCCATTTCCACCCCTCTGCGCCCCTTTGGGGCTGCACTGTCAAAAGCCTATTCCCAGCCTGTATCGCTTTTTATTGAATGTTTGTGAGGTTTGGATTAAGGTCTTACACTGCTAGCAAAGCTGTAATTATTTTTGCCTGTATTACTAGATATTGAATCGATGTAACTTTTCAATAAAGGTGGTTCAATGCAGGACACTCCCTGATGAGTTGGGAATATAGAAACCACAGTCATTATCCCAGAGGGTCTTTTTTTTTTCTTGGAGAGAAATGGAAAAGGAATTAGAGATGAGCCTTATTGTATTAACCTTGACAGCTTGCAATTATCAACTGAAACACTTGATTAAAATTGTCACAAGGTTGGAGAATTTTTTTATAAATAAATAATCAAACATGGATAGTACCCAGATGCTATGGTGATAGGCACCTTTAATGGGTGTAATTAATAATGATCATAAGCCTAGTGTGTATAAGTGGCCCCTGAAAATGCTGTCTTACTTTGTAGAGGAAAAGAACTCTGGAATTCAAACAGCCATTTGGTCAGAACGGGAGAGGGGCTTAGTGCTCTATAAATGCACATGTGTACGCATGTGTGCACACACTCATCTCATTCTTCAGAGACCCCAGGTGCTTTGTTGGTGTCTAAATTATGACCTGGTTTAAAACCCATGCCTTCTAGAGAAGATAGGTGTTGAGCATTTTCAGTCACTGTCACGTAAAACTTCTTGCTCTTTTTGGTTTTCCTCTTGCCACTGAGTTTCCGGCAAACTCCAATCTTATCATTCTACAGGTCTTTGAAGAGGCAAACAAAGCACTTCAGTGGTGCTACTCTGAGGATCCGGAATGAACGTCCCTACCCTGCAATGCCAGAAACATCTCTGTGCAGAAGTTGTCCTGTACAGAAGGTGAGTTTGCACGTTGCAAGCCACCAAGCTGCTGAGATCAGAGCAAGCTTCTGTGTAACTTGGTCTAATAAAAGGTGCAACTTACACCTGCACCTTCACCTTAGTGATACCTCTGACTCCCAGCATGGCTACAAATCTGCAGTTTCACTTTCAATATTAAGACCATGGAGATGTTTGTAAAGCAATGCATGCATTCATTATCTATCATTTATTATTATGAAACTGAAAATGACAGAGAAAAGAAAGGATTTTCAGAGGAAGGCGCAGCTGGCTTTCATCTAGCAGAAAATATCAGTGGCTTGGACAAAGGGCACCATCTTCCTTTATACTAGAACGTAAGTGAATTAAATTACAGCTTCTGTGAAGGATGGTTCCAACTAAGACACTAAAAAGTAGCCAAAAGCTTCAAGTTTTTCCTAAAGAATTTCTGTTTTTTCCTCCATAGGAAAAATAACACTTTTTCTTTTTTTTTTTCCTTCAGAAATTCTCTATTTGGATGGAAGATTTTCATTCCTCCATTCATGACCATCTAACCACAGCCAGGTGAGATATTTATAAATAAGCACTGGGTTTGTCTCTTTTAGATGATAAGCAGGTTAAACCATATTTTATGTAACGTGTTTTTAGAAAATCTAGACAAAACCATTGATAGCTAAGAGATGGAGAAGTTAACTTGGCCTCATCTATTGAATTGCATTGATGTAGTTAGTTACTATCTCACCATGGTGCTAAGCTGTACGTGCACAAAGGGCTGCCTGCAATATTACTTTGATTTAGTTCAAGTTAATTAGGAACACCCTTAAAATCAAAAAATGTGTTTGCAAAGTCAGATATGCATTAGTTTAATTATTAAAGAACACAGGAATGTATAGCCACTCTGCAGTTATATATTTTTCCAGTTATACTAGAAAGTGGCTAAGTTTTCATCTGCAAAGGAGAAGTCAATATTGAATCTAACCTCAAATCCTCTTTTTTGTGTGTGACAACTAACAGTGTCGAATATTTTCTTCCATTAAAAAAGGCAGATTTTTGTTTTCTGCCATTAAAAATGGAGATCTTGTCTAGCCTGAATAAGTCTGTGACATATGAGGAACTACTAAAATTAACATCTCATCAACTGAAAGGTAAGTAATTAATAGTTATAGAAGACATTTTTGTTTAGTTAAGTGTGTTAGCAAGAAGTTTTAAATATCTCTTAAGGTTTTCTTTATTTTGAAGCAGTCTGTGCCGCCTACATCTCTGCAAATAAACTGATGAGAAAAACGTGCTTCATCCTTCCAAAGTATCAAATTTAATCAGATGACAGATACATATTTTTCAAATCTATTGACATCACATCTATATAGCATTTGCAGCCTTCGGCATACTTAAATCACTGTCTAGGCTCTGGAACCATTCTGATTCAGACGAAGCACATTGCTGAACATTCTGAGCATGGAAATGGCCTGGTTATTTTTACCTGGTTAGAATATATGTTGAAGAGTTATTTTAAATGCTCACTGGAGCCAGGCTTCGACATGGAACAGCAGGTCAGGCCCTGGACTGGTAACAATCAGTAACCGTTGCTTTGTAAATGCGAACCAGCCATTTCTCCTGAATCCCACCCCTTTGCAAACTTTTCCAAGCAACTATTTTTCTTGTTGCGTGTTTGCAGAGCCTTTTAATACAAAGGGACTGGAATCCCCAGTGCTGTTGACTCCCCTAACTTTGTTAAGACAAGATATTAATAATTAGGGTCTTCAATTCAAATATCTGCATTCCTTTGGGGAATAGTGCAGATGTCCCCTTTGCTAAATTGAGTCTGTTCCTAAGGGTATCAAGACTTCAATACCTTTTGGATTGGCTAGGATCCTGATGGTTAATGGAACATCTGACCTTCTGGAGCTTGCCTGCTATTCCTTGTAACTGAGCTTGCATTTTTATGTTGAGATGTGCTGAGCTGGCCAAAGGTAATCTGGGCAGTCAGCGGTCCATGCTGTTCCAGCAGTTTCCAATTTGCTTGCTTTTCCCATCAGCTGCCTTCCATCTGAGATGAGATGATTAGGCATTTGTGTATTTATGATGCCGTGTTGCGTCATGTCACATTATATCTTCCCGGTGCCTTTTTTAAACTGCCTTGACATATGACATGAACAGAGCACACAATTGTTCTGATCAGGATCACCTGGTCTCAATTTGGAGAGTATATAGAAGTGAGTGGTGTCCAGTATGGATTGCTGCTTGTTCTCTACCTATCAAGTCCTGTTACACTGTAAGAATGTATAGCAGATGGCAGGTGAAAGAGGTGAGCAGGAACACATGGCACCGGGGGTTATCTGAGGGTATTCCACATGTCTTGGCTGTGGTGTGCAGCCCCAAGCTGAAAGCCAGTAGATAGATAGGCAAGTTTCGTGCTTAGCTAATACCTTTGAGTTACAATAGATTTTTTTTACCAGCTGTCCTACTGTTTCCGGCAGCTTTTAAGCATCACTGAGACTTTCCTCCCAAAATACAAAATTTGCAGCAGTACTATAAACTGCCTGGAATAATGGGAATGCTAATTTGAGGCTGAAGCTTATACAGCTCCTTCTGTTTAGACTAGTTTTAATCCAGGCTTAATCACTGCTGTGGTTAACATACATGGAAGCTATATTCTAGATTTTCATTGCTGCTTGTAAGTAGCGTGGCATGCCCTGAGGTGCTGGTAGTATTTCTAACATTCTCACTGCAACAGGATGCAGTAAATAGGATGGAGACCATATCACCAGGAACCTTTTGCCTTTGAACAAAAGATATAGCCAAAGTACATTGCAAACATTACATTAAAGCTCAAAAAAAGCCCGGTTTGGGAGATGTTTGCTCCATAGTATGGGTGGGGATATTGAGAGGTAATGTCACAACACCGGCCTGAAGCGCTCTGGGAGGGAGCCTGCAGATACTGCTTGCTCTGTGCTTCTGCTATTCTATCTCCATCAGTATTGGCTCATGCCTAAGTTTGATAAGTAAGTAAGTAAATAAATAAATTACATTACCAGCACATCTATTCTTAGTTTTATAGTATAGGGTGATGGCATAGCAGAGGAGATTAACAAGTTCCCCTAGCTGCAGCACAGTAAGTCCATTCAAGGAGCCTCTCTGGGACCCTCCTGTTGACTTTCTGGCCGCATCTGTCTGTCAACACTATGGGATCGTTAATTTGGATATCAGGCCGTGTGTATCTGGATCCTTTCCAAAGCATGTGCTCCCCAGCTTGCATCAATTTAAATATTTCAGTTGGAAAGAAGAATTTGCATCTATGGCTGAAATAGTTAAATAGTTACAACAACCTGGCATAACAAACTTTGGGCAGATGTGTGTGACTCTGAGAAGCAACTACTACCTTTGCTGTGAGTCACGTCTGTTGTTGATTGTTGTTGCAGTCTGGCTGTCAAGTCCCATTGTACTAGGTACTGTATCTGCTGAAAACTTATTTAAATAACAGTTGTAGCATATCACTTTATTTATGTATCAGGGTGTTGATGTACAAGGGGATATCCCACAAAGAAAGGGATATGGTTAATAACTTTTGTAAGGGTTTATCCATGCCAGCATCTCTATATGCATAAATTATTTCAGTAAGTAGTCATGACCTTAACAGATAGATTAATCCTAAACACCTCAAGAGTGGACTTTTGTCTGTAAAAATGCATGGATGTGAGGACTGGGGTTTTAGCTTTGAGATTTTATGTTATACTTAATATTGAAGTTCCATTTTTAGAATCTCGTAGTGATTACTAACTTATAGATTGGATAAAATATATTGTAAACACTAAATGGTATGAACGGCACCAAATGGTCTCTAGCATTTTACCTGTTTACAAAATGGTTAAGAGAGTGAGAAATTCTTGCTAAGCAGACAGGACAGACATGGTAGGTTACGGAAAAGTATTAAAAAGTCACTGTTTTTTCATCTGTCCATTTTCTGTCTCCCAGAAACAATCTATCTGAATGATTTTCTCATGGAACTGATTTGTGGTTAGCACTACCTTAGGTAACTTCTTCATAATTAGGGCTTCTCAACATAGCAGTTAGACAAGTTTAACTTTAAAGCAGACTTAAATCTATTCTGAATGCACTGATTTGTCTTTAGATTATAGCACTGTCCAACTGGCTTAAGCTAAACAAGCACGCTATTCTTAAGTTGATAGGCCTTCCTAGTTAAATGTGTAACTAAATCAGTTTAAAATGACGTTACCTTGGAGCAGTTCCCTCTCATTTTTTTATAAATATGCAGTGAAATCAATACATCCCTTCATAAGCTGATACAAAGAACACCTCCCATCCCAACCGCCCAAAAAAGAAAAAGGAAAAAAGTTAACTGCAGACCAGGTAGTGATGAGACTCTTCAGACACTGTGATCAGAGAAAACATTATCAAAGATAAACCCCTTTCTAAACAGTTTAGATAAATAGCTACAACTGTTGGGCCAACAAAACTTTCTATACCTATAGTTTAAAAAAATTGCTTCAAATCCTTCTTTTCATCTTCTTTAAATAGAGTGGAAAGAAATTATATTCCCTGTCAACATGATACCTCTGCATTTATGTGGGTAGATCAACGTGTTTCATTACTGGGGAGAAGATGATCTTAGAGAAGCATGGAGTTTGGTGTAATTGGGGCAGAGGAAGAAGCTGTTTCAGATATATAGCAGAATTCTCTAAGTCAGCTTTTAAAAATGTAATTGTTTTTGTTCAACACACTTAGAATTTCCTTATTATATAAAATAATCACAGTTTATGTCAGTCCCTGTGGCCTAGCTAAGGATTTATAATGCACCCAAATCAACAGGTGCGGTTTGTAGGGCTCATTTTAGAATTACCACTGGCTCTTGGCATGGCTGAATTCCCAGAGTTGTGTTTTCTGTGGTATCTCTAGTGAAGTCTGAAGGAGCCAGATGACTTCTCAGGCCCTATAAAGGCTTTTTTTATGGAGACTTGGAGCATATTTATGTGCCGCTGCCCCCCCCACAGCCTGTTAAATGAAAGAATTTAGTACAGGTTTCCATTCTTATCTTAATACTCACATTTGTTTTGCAGATCACCTTTAAAAAGGCTGTAAATGCACTATAGGGTTCAATTCCCGGTATGAGCCTAAACCTGGCAGCAGGTTTCAAGACATTGGCTGTTACGTACAGAGCTGTGTATTAACTCTGCAGGGCAGACGTTTGTTTTACAAGTCTCTGAAGCCTAAGGAGAAGTCATTCCTCACAAAAGAGCTGGTATTGAAATGCAGCGTGGGTCAAATCCTTCTTGGTGTAAATGAGTGTCTGCCCCCTGTTGTTTTAAAACCAAACAGACAGAGCTTGAAGCATTGCTTTAATCCAGTTGGATTGGGTCAGATTTTCACTACTGAGTCCTGTAATATCAGTGTAATGGTATTCAGATGATTACTGTGTTTACCTAGGCTAGCACAGTGTGCTGTACAGGCTGGGTATTAATTGCACATTTCTTACCTCTAAACCCATTTCCATTGCCACTGGAGCAGGCAGGAGAAGGAGACCCTTGGGGTCTGATGACAGGAGCAAAGGCACTCTTCTGTTTGACAGCAGGAAAGACGGAAGAGGAGAATGGAAGGATGGAAGAAGTGCTGGAGGAGCCAACTGTTGGACTTGAAGACATTACTGCGAGAGAAAAAAATGAATCCTCATCAGAAATGCAATTATAGAAGTTTGGTAAAACTTCTTAAAATGTCTACCTTCTGATTACTCATTTTACTACTTAATGAAGATCTCATTCTTGCATTGACTTGGCTGTTTACAATAAGTCTAAAGTAAAGAGGTAGTTAATATTGAATAGTTTAGAAAAGAGAGTGCTTAATTATTTACAGTGAAGAGTGAGGATATCAGGAAATGGTAAATCATCAAGGGAGAGTCAAGATGAACAAACAGTGGACAGTAATGGCCTGTCCACTTATAGTCTGTGCCTGGACATTGGGAAGGCCTCCTCAGCTTTTAAAATGAAGATTTCCTTGGTTAGACATGAGGGGGGATGTTTTAAGCTGTTGCTTAGATTTTAATCTAAATTAGCTTCATTTTAAAGAAGTCTCTTGCAAGAAAAAGTCCCATTACATGTCCATTAGCTTGTTAAGCAACTGTTTGCTTACCTTCCAGGAAAAATATCAGCTATTTCTTAGCAAAATGAGGACAAATAACCATATTTCATGTGGGTTCAAGTGAATCCCCAAGTCTCATGGCAGTATTAGTTTGAAATCAGAATAACAATACACTGCACACTCGGCCCTTTCCTTATGAAAGCCAACGGCAAAGCTCCAGAATAGAAGTATCAAAAGCACCTGAACATCCTTTGAGTTGCATCTTAGCCCTAAATCACAGCTCAAAGTGTGAGGATATTGTTTAGCAGGTTTCAGATCAGCAAGGAGCCTTCATCATCACTGCAAAGTGGGTCAGTCCTTATGCAGATGATGGGAATGTAAATAAAATAGTATTTTGCAGGATAGCAGGTGTTTTCTGGAACGGCGCGATCCTGACGTAGGGAGCTATACCCTCCATCAGCTACAGTGCAGTTAAATAATTAAATAATAAGCGAATAACTAAATAGCTGTTTAACTGTTCGTCCTCTTTTTTATATATACATTTTTTTATATATATATATATGTTACACACACACACTTTTGCCAGAGGGAAGTCAAGTGACTCGCTCATGGTAAAACTAGTAACTAGAAGCACGATAATACTAACTTCCAGAATTTAATTCCATCGTTGTTATATTTCTGGTTATCGAGGTTATATAGTTTCACAGGAAATTAATCCACAATTCTGCTCTCAGTTACTGTTAATTATTTTAGAGTGACTTTTACATAGGATTCAGAGTAACCTCTGTGCTAAAAGTAATGGTTACTCGCTTAATCATCTAAAGTTGTAAATTGTACCTCATTTCTCACTGTGGCCTTTGCCACTTAGGAATCTGTATGAGGATATAAGAAATGAAGGAAAAAAACAAGTAAGATTCAATATTCCTCTATTTTTCTTGAAAAATGGGGACATTTTCTAGTTCGTACTAAAAAATACCAGATCACAAATCAGAATCTTTTACAAAAATCTTCCCTAAATCTTGAGAACTTCTTGAAAGACATCACTTGCTGCATTTGTTGATGTGCTAAATTAAATGGAGCAGGAGCAAGAATCAAATACGAAACAATATAAAAGCAGCAAAGCACATACATCCGTAGGGGGATCCTGTTGGAGAGCCGTTAATGAACCCAGGTGAGCCTGGAACGCCCAGGTTGGACATGGGGACGTTGCTGTAGCCGTTCATACTATTGCTGGAAGTGCTGTAATTGGACTGTTGAGGTGTGGAACTGGATGAGTAACCTCGGGGTGAGATGCTGCTTGTATTACGGATATAACCTAAAAAAAAAAACCCACACACATTTCAAAACACATCAATGGATTTGGCTTTCTCCTGTATAGTCCCTGCTTAAATAAATAACTTATTTAAATCCAGATTAATTAAAACATTTAAGCAAGTACCATTACATTCAGTGTTTTTTATGCACGTGCTTTCAAGTTAAGCAATATTGAGTTTTAAAACAATGTGGGAAATTAACTTTTGGAAGTGAACTGATGATATTTTGTTAATCAGATTTTATTTGTTAGAAGTTGAAATTTGTTCTAAGACCTGGGGGAAAAAAGTGTGTGCTTATCTTTTTCTGAGGTAGAATTTATAATATATGTGGGATTTTCTACAATTCG